TGCAGGGATGTGTAGTTTTCCTTAACATAGAGAGCTACCCCCCCGCCCCTTTTCTCTACATGATCCCTCCTGTACAGGGTATAGCCATCTATACCCGTGGTCCAGTCATGGGTGGAATCCCACCAGGTCTCCATTATCCCTATGACATCGTAATGGGGTGAAACGGCCTTGACCACTGAATGCAACTATAGGTCTCATAGCACTTGCCACGAACATTAGAGGGGTTAGTTAGCCTTGCTGTCTTGGCTGTTTTTTTTTTTTCAACGGAAGGTAGCACTTGCTGTCTACTTGAATTCCTTGCAGTTTTGCTTTGGTACCATAGTCTTCGTTATTTCCAGTGTTGTTGTCTGGCTTGGTTCTGCAGATAACATGGTTGTAATGTTTTATCTCTGCGGTGTCTTCGTTTCACTGCCATGAACTTTGTACAGAGCTTGCAGCACGCTTTCCTTGTGGATGTAAGGTGCTGTATAAACTATTTAAAGGGGAATATGATGAGAAAATACCAATCTAGCCAGTTCAACAACTTAACACTTCTTACAGCTACTGGGAATGTAACTATTTAAATATAACATTCCTTTATAATACTCTGAATTAAAGGGTTCAGAGTTCATGAAATAATAAGTAAATTTTAAAAATGTTTTTAGTTTTAGAGCTAGTTTCACTTTTCTTGCAGAGGAACATACTTTGTGCTGCAAGCAAAAGGACCTGTTGTTTTCTGCAGGAGGCCCTAACCATTTAGCGTTCCCCCACTTGGTCCTGGCATACAAATCGCAGGGGGTCGTCATGAACTAGTGGTCAGTCCTTGTGTACCCTTGAGTGGGCTTGCTGGTACAGCTATGCCAATAATGCTATACCAGCAATATCCTAAGGGAGCTCTTTTTCTGGCACAGTTTAAATGGCAGAAGACCTTTGCTGGTATAATTGTGTCTACTCTAGGGCCTTTGCTGGTATAGCTGTGTTGGTGTGGACCAGATGGAGGAATTATGCCTCTGGCCAACAGAGGTAGGCCAGTGCAACTTGTAAGTGTAGCTGAAGACTAAGACAAATAAAGGCCTAGGGAAGGGTGAAGATTCAGATGACCTGGACATCCATTCCCAGGTTTCGCATGTGGTCCTTTGACCTTGGCCACCCTGTACAGGTACCTATAGCTGTTCCTTCTCATATCTAATTAAGGCAGGGAGGTACTGGCTTTCCAAGTGAGTTGTGTAACAGATTAGTATGTAGGTTTTCTCTTTTATTGTGACCTTTGGCTTCCCGATACATTCCTTGTGCTGCTTCATTCAGATCTTGAAGCTGTTGCTGACTCTGGCATCTAGGGTTGATTGAATTTTAAGTAATAACTACAACCTAGGAAGAGAAGCTGTGACTTAGTAAAAAGATAAGGTTTAAACCTTAATACTGTAAACAATGCCCAGTGAGAGCATGTTGTGTCTAAAAGCCTGTCTTGCATTTCATCCAACTATGCAGTTGATCCAGTAAAAGCTAGCACCAAAAACCTATCTTGTCCCATATCTAGTGACATTATACATGACTTATTCTTTGGCCAGTTGGATCTTTGTCCCATGTTAATATGTGTAAATCAATGCCTAATACCATTAATTACTGCAGAGGGTGGGACGAGCAAAGAATAAGGTTAAGGTATTTATTATTACAGTGTTCCTGTTGGGAATATTGTTCACTATACGTTATATGATGATATTAGCACGTTAGGCGATGGTCAAGTACAATGTGTGATTTGATGGATAGCCAGTGAAAACAGTCAGTTATGTAAGTTTTGATGATGATCGCTTGCTGCATATTTCCAAAGTGCTAAATGTGCTTTGCTAAAATTTCCCAAAAGGTCGTACAACTTTCTTTTTCTTGTTTGTAGGGTAGGTATAGTAATTTCTGAACTAGAGTGAATTCAGCGATTAGCCATGTATTGCTTTCTTGTTAAGATAATAGAGTTTATTTTTCATCAGACATAACAGGGCAGAACACTAAGTGAAGATAAACAGTGGAATCTGACTGCGGGAAGATTTTGGAACAGTTTGTATCAAAATCACTAATCTGTGTAAACTGGCTTGCCCAACCAAGGTCTTTGACATTAGACATCGCCTGTGTCTAATCCATTGTTTTAGTCCAAAATATACATTTATTGAAGGGAATCCCATCAACCTGTTTTGGAAAATTATTTTGAGCCTAATACTAGATAATCAAGAATGGCTTATATTTTTTACTGTGGAATTATACTAAGCAGGTTTGTTTTTTTTCCACCTTTCTTATTTTACATTTTTTAAGGCCTACCAAATTAAAACAGGAACTCTTCAAGGGCCCACTACAGTTGATATTAATAGAGCTTCATATCTGTATTTTCCAAACCATGACTTTAACAGCACAGGAAAGGCAGCACTATTTGTTAACATAACTGTTCTGTATATAGATAGAAATGCACCGTTCAGTTTTTAAGGAGTATACAACATTTCATATTCTGAAGTTAAGCATTTTGAAGTCCGCAGAACAGGACTACTTGAATGTAGGTTTGGTGGTTTTGGGTTTGTTTTTTGTACCAAACCACAAAAGGGTTGAGGGGTGGTTAAAGAAGTACCCAAGGAAATTTGAACCATTAATGTTCATTTTTAACAAATCATAGAAGACTGCAGAAGTTCTAGACTAATGATGGGCTGCGGGGGAGCTAATCCTTCACCAATGTTTGACAAAGGTAAGTGGAAAAGCCAGTTAACCTTATGCTAATACCAGGCAAAATCAAGGAACAACTAGTAGGTGGTGCAAGCAGGACAATAGCATAATGATTGTAGTTATTGGAAGGTGAGTATTGCCAGGAAAAACTTTTTTCTTTTTTTTAGTGGTTTCAAATGTGCTCAGTAAGGGTGATTATGTTAAGGTAACAAGGTTACCTTTTTCTTAGTTGCTGGGTTTTCCCAGATATTGCCCGTGTCTTGTGCAGTTCCCTCCTGGACACCTGCATCAAGGTTGGGGGGGACCATTGGATGAGTAGATTTTGGCCATACTCAGTTGCATGGCCAGAACTAGAGCACGAGACTTTCTGGCTTCCAGTCTCATGCTCAGTCTCCTGTGAGGCCACCTTGTCAAAGCTCCCCGCCTCCTGAACTCAGTGGTCCCTTGTTAAAGCCAATTAACGATCAACGCCCCCCCTTCGGAAGGGGTGGATTTTGCAACTGTTCCTGTGCTGTTGGCATAACAGGGATGTGCACAAAACTTAACTTCCATATTGTCTTTGTTTTGTATAGCTTGAAAACCAAATGTTCATTGTGAAAGTATTCAGGTAAAAGAAATGATACCGGTCTTTCAGCTTCGCAATTACTCTTTTTTAAATATAGATTTCAAGCGCTTGAAATCTATATTGTTTCAGGAATGTCTGTACTAACTCCCCCGAGTTACATGAGCAGTTGAAAGCTATCGCAGACCTTTACTTACTTTACTGAACATCTTTTTCCCTCCTTTTATTTTTCTCCAATTAAAAAAAAAAAAAAAGCCTCAACAGTTTAAGTAAGTATGTGAATTTGCATTTCTACAAAGGGGATCAAAAAATCTAATTCCTTGGTGGAGTTTGTAGAGCATATTTTTTAACCTTTAGGTCATTTTTATACACCTTTTTTTCTGCCCACAAGTCTTCATTTTATAGAGTTTGGAGGGAGACTGCAGTAACATACGTCATATTTGCATTACATTTGTCTGCATCTTGTCCCAAGTTGGAAATCCAGAGCTCTAATGGAAGGTTTACTGCACACACAAGAGGAGGATAATGTAGTAAGTTAGGGCATGATCTAACTCGTGTCAGAATTAGCGCAATTACACTCATTTACCTTAATTGGGTGTTTCCATTGCCCTTAGGGGAGTTGTTACAAACCACGAGGAAAGGTTATTTTGCAATTTACTTTATATCTGTTCAAAGGCATCAGCTTTGGAGGAAGATTGCATATGACGCAGGGCTTGCATATTGTGGGTGTCTCAATTTCTCCAAATAACGTGGAATTCAGACTCCGCTGCAGATGGAGGTTTGGGAATCGGGCCCTGCAATTTGCCTCTTTTCCCCCAAACAGGTTGACTGTTCTCTTCTTCTGAGAGGGGTTTATTTCTTTCAGAACGTACAGTGTAATTATTTGCTGCCCAAACATTTGGATTACTTTGGGTTAATTTAGAATGGAAAAAATCTTAAGTGTTTTGTCAATAATGCTTTAATGCTAAGTCTTGCCCTCTTCTTTTGCAGTGGAATCTGGTGTGCGATGATGACTGGAAAGCTCCTTTAACTACCTCCTTGTTTTTTGTGGGCGTGCTAGTCGGATCTTTTGTATCAGGACAGCTCTCAGACAAGTAAAGTATATACTGGTTCTTGATCTGATTACTATATTTCAAACAATTCTTGAAATGAAATCAACCAGTGTAATCTTTTCATACTGTGGTAAAAAGTTATGCTCTTTTGCTAAACTGATCCTCATATTTCTGTGACCTTTTTCGGTGCTAGTATTAGTAGCCTATAAGAAAACACTAGTGAGGACTGAGTGCTGTTATGTTTGCTGTTGGGTCATCTGTTCTGTAGACAAAGCTTTGATGCAGCACCTAAAATAAAGGCAAAATGCTATTATGGGGGTCTTTTTTATCCAGGAGGAGGTCAGTTCTCAACTAAACTCATTCATCCATGAAAAGACACAATTTTACAGGCTGTTCTTGAAAATCAGATCCTGGTGTGCTATTTGATTTTCTGTGAACTATCCTTTATTCTTGTTACTTACTCTACTCATGTTTGCTTTTCCCTAGGCCAAGTCAAAAGCTCCCCTTGTACAAATGTTTATAGCTTCTCTTGTACCTCATGTCAAATTCAAGGTCTAAGTCCAACATTTTGAGTTTGTGGAGTCTGGAAAGCATCAGTGTTTCTTATCAGTCTTCGTAACACAGATGTTTGTTGCTCTTTTTTCTGACCTAACTGATAGCAGTACCATGGGCTGTTCTGTTTGTCCGCACAAAGGTGGAAAAAATAGTAGCACTCTTGAATTTCAAATATCTGAATTTTGTTTTAAATGTGCTTTGCAAGCTGGATGACGTCTAACATGCATCCCAGCATGTGGCAGCCACTCAGTTCCCATTGAATAATGTGGAGGGGTGGTTTCTGTTTGATGATTTAACACCAAAACTTGTATAGGTTTACAGCTTTATAGGCCAAATCCTGAAGTTCTTACTTGGGCAATGGCTCTGTCAGTTTTAATGAGATACTAATGAGGTCTGATCTCTGGGATCCAGCCTTTTTATTCTTCTGTAAAGAATGGACTTCTGTTGCAGGGCTGTTTCAGTACTGGTATTGCTTTCTGCACAATACTAGTGAAAATAGAGTAGCACAGATTTCAACACACGCTGGCAACCAGAGTACAAACCCTGTGGGAACCCTTTGTGTATTCCTAGCATGGACGAAGGTCTATGTTGCCTTGTCTATATTGCTTTGTTACCCATGCTACATGAATTAAGCTATCATTCATAGGCTAACGTGCGATTTAGTCACACCACCATTTTGCTGTATAAACATACCCTTCGAATCTGACACTGGTGAAGGAAGACTCGGCAGTCTTTATAGTTCAGTGATAATGTAAAGGAATGTTGCTAAATACAACCCCTGCTAATACATCAGTCAGTCAATCCTGAGGCTACACCAACCATTCGGGCACCTTTGCATAGAGCAATAACTTTCCTCCATTCACCCTGGTCTTTTGCAATCCCTGTAACAATCAGTCAGTTTTAATCCTGTACAGTCTTTGATGTTGCTGGTCCAGCCGGTCCTAGGTCTTCCTCTTCTTCATCCATCCACAGAACCCTGCAGGATGGTGTTTGCAAGGGTAATTCTGCTAATACATATAGCATATCTTCTGCTGATATTAATACAACAGTATGTACATATGGAAACTAGCTCAATAACTAGAACACCACACTATCCCATGGGAGATTGTTTAGGCAGCTTTTTACTCCCATGGAGTTCTCCACTATGGTATGTCTTATACTCTAGCACCATCTAGAAGTCTGCCTCTGAAATAGTAGCCCAGACATGTTGCAGTCTGTCTTTCTGGGCTCAGAGCAGGCAGCGCTACTCAATATTTTGGCCCTGCGGGTCACATGAAAGGTGCAGGGCCAGTCTGCAGGCCAGACCACAGCAGGATTGGGCCTTCGTGGCCTTGGTAGGCCTTCACACCTTCCCCACGTGGCCCCATGCCACCCTTTATGCCTGATCTAGCGTGCAGAGCCACAGCCCAGGGGCCTCTCCATGGACTTGTGGGGAGCCCCATGGACCAGATGACACAGCTGCAGGGGCCAGATGCATCTCATGGGCCAGGAGTTGAGCGCTCCTCATCTGAGGGGTAAGATTAAGTGAGAAAGCAGCAGATCAGAGCAAATAGATGAGCTAAAACCTTATGCTGCTTCATCTGTGAATCATTGTTTCTTATGCCAAACTAAAATTTATACCATACCCCTTACTGCCATATCTGGCCCTCCTTGTACAATTGCTGTGTGTTGACCAAGCTTAATTATGAAGTGGAATTATATATGTGATCAGCAGGGTTTCAGCCACCAAACTGGGAAGGCAAGGTAAGCTATGATATTTAGATAACCAGGCCAAAATGCAAATATAAACTGAACCTGCCAAAACATTGAGGCTAAAACTTCTGTTCCAATCATAAGTACCAGAACTTAGTCTCAAACTCGCTCACCCTTATGTTGGTAAGGAACAAACAGTCCCATTGGAAATCACTTGCGTTATTAACACAGCAAGGTGTCACTTGGTATAGCTGAGTTAGAATTGCAGAAATGGCTCCTTAATAACCATATTCCTGAGGTTTGCTGCCTCTCTAAAATACTCCACTTCTCCACCTAATGTTTTAACATCTCAGTCTGGAATATGGATTTGATATTGACTTGGAGGAGAAAAGAAACAGCTTTTTTGAAACACCAGTACCTAATCAGATGCATTGTGGCTAACTCCTTTTCTAGATGGCTACACATGTCCATGTTCAGTCCAACAATGAAGAGAGAACCTCCCACCACAGCTCCAAAGAAGCCTTTTATTACAGCCCTTAAGATATTCTAATTTTGCCCAGTGAGATTCTTAGTGTACTTCTTAGTGTATATATGCTTTTCTGCTGCTGCCTGAGTTGCTCCCTTGTTCATGTAGACACACAGAAGATTTCTTTCACAAAGGTTTGTTTTACAACCCTCTTACATTTTTTTTTGTCTTTGTTCTTTGAAGGTTTGGCAGGAAGAATGTTCTGTTTGTGACCATGGGGGTGCAAACTGGCTTCAGCTTTCTGCAAGTTTTCTCCATCAACTGGGAGATGTTTTCAGTGCTCTTTGTCCTCGTCGGCATGGGACAGATCTCTAACTATGTGGCGGCTTTTGTGCTTGGTACGAAAATGTGTTATACATAACCTGTGTTTTGTGGCAACGTCCTCTTCCTCCCATCCCCAGCTAGCAATGGCAATTTTATTCCCAAGTAGCACGTTTAATAATAATATAGCCTTGCTAATTTCCAGTCTGTTTCAAAATGTCCTTTTGGTAAAATAGCAAGATAGTGCTAGTAAACTTCTTTGTCTGCCAAATTAAAATAGGCAAATGAAGAAAATCGGAACCGATATTTATCTGAGGCAAAAGCATCCTGTAATTGGAGAGCTGTGGTACATGTTCCTTAATATGCAGGTGGAGATACAGAACCAGTAATTCAAAGTTTTAGATTCTGTCCTTTAGATCTAAATACATGTTTGTTTATAACAATTACAAATCAAAGTGTGACTTGAGAATAACCTTTTGTAAAAATTAAACTATCATATCACCTCTGTCACTTCATCCATTCTGTTATAGCAAAGAGTAAGTTGTATTTGATTGGAAGTGAAATAGACTCAACATTGGTCTGAAGAAATATTTCTATGTGGCTGGTTGTTGGGGGTTGGTTGTTTGTTTTTTGTATTTTGGCCAGAACACCCTTGTGGATCTATCAAAGGTTAACTTAAAAACACTTTGTTTTATGAAAGATTCACCAGGCAGAGCCTAGAAAAACATACTTTTAAAGAAATTTTTAATTTGGTGTTGGATGGAGAATTCTAGGAGTTCAGAATCAGAAATAATGTCCTTGCTGGCTTAGAAGAACTTAAACTCTTCATTTTGCTGTCTTTATTCATACCAGTACTTCCCATGAGGAAGGATTGGTGATGCAAGAGAAATCTAGTGATTATCTCTTTAAAACAGGGGGGAAACGTCTAATATAATGATCCATTGTAGCATGTCAGGAGTAGTTTTGCTAAAGGGTAGTTTTGGTTCTTCTGTAGCATTATAATGTTTGACTGCTTTTGTTTTGTTTGTTTTTATCATAATGCTAATTTGCACCCCCTTGTTTTGAACAGGCACGGAAATTCTTGGCAAATCAGTTCGCATAATATACTGCACATTAGGTGTTTGCATATTTTATGCATTTGGCTACATGTTGCTGCCGCTGTTTGCTTACTTCATCAGAGACTGGCGGACACTGCTTCTGGCTCTTACTTTACCTGGGCTGCTCTGCATTCCTCTGTGGTGGTGAGTGCATCTACCTTCAAAGGTGTGAGGCTTTGGAAAGTCTCAGCTGTGGCTGCCAGGATTCAGATGCAAGGCCTACATGACCACAGTGTCAGATCTTGACACAATGGTGACTCTTAGAAACAAGTTATTACTTGAAACTGCGTGCGTGCATGCGTGTGTGTCCTCTTTTTCAGCGGTTAGGTTGAAAGCATAGATAATAGAAATAGCCAGGTTTAATCTGTTCTGTTGGATCTTAAAAGTTTCTATTCAGTTCTTCCTCTCAGTCAGTGACATAGGCAAAGTCACTCTTCAGTTATGCCACTATAAATATCTTTATACCAGTGTAACTGGGATCAGAATCCAGCCCATTGGTAGCACTGTTTTATATAAAGCAACAGGTCAGTAAACTCATGTGCAACCAGGCGGATGGCACTGTAGCACCAACACAGAATCCTAAACCTCATCAATCAGCACCATTTAGGTTAACTGATCTCTGCTGTGTTTGAAAGTCAGAGGGAGATGGACAGTAAACTTATCTCCCTTTTCCTATTCAATAATGGGAAAAGAGTTGCTGTGAGGGGATTTAATTCTTTTTTCCCTCTGCCCACATGTATTTTGTGGGTCATTTCTGCAAACTGCTATTATGTCCATGTCATTGAGTGGCATAATGATAATAACACCTGAATTCCCACTTTAAATTTAACACTTCTGCAAGCTAGGTTGCAGCACTGGAGCATTACTGCTTTGAAGCTGGATGGCATAAGCATAGCCTAAATCTGAAGCTGTTTCGTGAACTGTTAAGCTGTAAAAACAGCAACCCTAACCAATGACCGAAGTCATCATGGACTACTTGTGAATAATGACGAGTTATGAAATACGGTTTTATATTCAGTATTATAATAATGACATAATTTGAACCCACAGATCAGATATTTGGATGCCAACGAGTTATAAAAATATATTTGCAGGTACAAGATCAGGAACCAAATCAAGGATGTTGACAAGAAGTCTGCACACATTACCATTGTGCAGCAGCTCTGCTACAGTTAAGGTTTTAAAGGTGTTGCCCTCCACTAAACACTCTAAAACCTACATGCTTGCTTGCAGTGCCCCAAAACTTAGCCTGTACCCTGCAGGTGCTAGGTAAGGACAGTGTTCATAGATTCATAGATGTTAGGGCCGGACGGGACCTCAATAGATCATCGAGTCCGACCCCCTGCATAGGCAGGAAAGAGTGCTGGGTCTAGATGACCCCAGCTAGATGCTTATCTAACCTCCTCTTGAAGACCCCCAGGGTAGGGGAGAGCACCACCTCCCTTGGGAGCCCGTTCCAGACCTTGGCCACTCGAACTGTG